GCCTGTTTGTTTTGCGAACATAAGTCTAGGTCATGGGTTTCATGGATTTTGTCGAAGGGGGCGTTCCGAAATTAGACTCTCATATTTCGTACAGGATGTGACCTCTCTGTGAGATTAAATCACATCTGTCATCGTGCCGTAGCTTACAATAGTCTGACTATACCATTAGATCTTACAACTGCTTAAGAGATTTCCGAGCTCGACGCTACAAGCTCCATCAGGGAAGAGAAAAACTAGCCAGCACCGTATCGTAGGAACCAGAACCAGATCTCCATAGCGAACTTGAAAAAGCCTTCCCACTTCGTACTTATCCGCCCGCCGAGGCCGACAGCATCATGAAGAGCGCTTCTCATCCAGGATGAATATATTTATTCTTCAACTAGTCTCGTTCCCTGGATTTGTATTTCATCGTCTTTGAATGCGAGAAAAGTAGGCGTTTCATACTCCGAAATCAGAAATGAGACGTGTGTTGAAATTGAAGTAGACGCCGCTGAAGCTGGAGTAGTTGGTCAGGTAGTACAGAGACACATTGATGTTCGATGTGCCTTCACCCGCGTCCACTGACTTTCTCTCGGTAATCTGCCGTCTTGCCCGCTGGTCGTAGCTGAATTGTTCTAGTTTGTCCGTGTCCAGGTCTACTTATCCAACAGCATCAATGGTGAGTGTAGGTCCTGCCAAAATCTTGACAGAGAAGAACCTGATTGATCTGGCTCGAATCTAGAGACACATTGACAAGACCAGAGAACGTCAGCTTTTGCATCGTGCTTGCAAAGTCAGAGCTAACAGCCATAGAATAGACGTAGTAGAAATATACGTCAATGGTTTCTTCCAAATAAGACGCCAGTTCTTGGTGATATCACTTCCCAAGAATGGGCTCACTGCGGTATTCTCTCAGTCTCAAACGCATCTAGTACATATATACCCGATTCCGACTTGGTTGCTCACCGTATTCCGTCATGGCGAAGCCATGGGAGCGTGAATTCTCCTAGGGATGTCATCTTCCATCCCTGGCGACTTCATAACGGCGTTCCAGTTTCCGCGAACGCTGGAACCTAGGCGGCTAGTGGAGTCTTTCCGAGCCAGTGTGAGGTTGAAACCAAAAAGGGAAGACGACAAATTCGACGTTCTTATTCAAGAGACAGGCTGGTGTATGTTGATCTGGAAAGAAAAATTGGCTTTGAAAGCCTGCAACCCAATGGTTGCTTGGCGTCATTAGACTTGTCTGGATAGAGGAGGAACACGATGGGACTGGGTTTGTCTCTTTTGTCTTCAAGGAAGCCGGAGCATGAGAATCATCTGTGAGGGGAATGAAACTACAGTCTGTCTTGTCCTGAACTACCTCTGCCGAATGAGCTTCAACTCCCAGGTTGACAAGACCGTACCTGGGTCTTCCCATATTGACACATTTGGACCACAGTCAAATGACACAGAGGTTGTAAGGCATCAGATTGATCCAGAAGACGAGAGCTCACATTCATTTCAGGTCAAAGTCTCGGAGACACCAGCATGAAGATGCGATTGTGGGTGTCACGCTGTAGTCTTCACTGGTCGCATCGATGGCTGCGCGAAGATTTGTGGAAGAAATGAGACGACCTCTTTCATATAACGTTGTCGCATTGGAAACATGTTACAGGGAATGGGATGCTCTAATTCACGGGATATTAAAGGCGTTGAGGCGAGATTTGCGATGATCCATCGAGGACCTAGGCTAAAGGCGTTTCCAAAGATGTCACCAGTCTCTTGTTATATCGAAACCCTAAGCACAGGACCAATGAGCCCTTCTCTAGAGGTGTATCCCAACCTTGGCGGGCTTGTTTGACGACGCAAGGGTTGAAGGTCGACATCGTATGTTGCGGCTCTGGACAGATCCTTGTGGTCTATTGGTACAAGCCGAAACCTTGATAGGCCGAAAATGGTGCGCATCTCTAGTGGACGTTCAACTTCGATATTGTAATCCTCTAGGGCTCTACATATTCACCTAAGAACCCATGGTGCCTGCGTATCTAGGGCATCAGACCTGGTGAGGGACTAGAGTCAACAGACATGGTACAGGACAAATGTGGCTAACATATGGAGCGCAAGCGTGGCTGGCTGGTGATTTTCCTAGCCTGATTTCTAGAACCAACACCCAACTTCCCTGAGCAGCATCACGGGTGGGTCGGTAGGCTTAAGCCTGCGCATGATTACCACGTTGGTTCGTGGATATCCCCTGTTTTCTGCCTCGTACCTGTACATATACTTGCTTAGACCATCTCTCAAGAACTGAAATCGCAATTAAAATGTGTTGTGAAGCAGGCTTTTTTGCTCGACTCTTCTTGAAAATTTCTGGCAGGCGAATGGAATGGTTTACGCCCTGTTGTAGGGGGGCAAGAAAGGTGTAAGTTGATTTGTCGAAGCTTGAGGCGAGGTACACTACGGTATCTCGATTACGGTACTGACTTAGTTGCACTATGGCCTTGAACATCCTCCCGACTCCGCTGCATCCGCGCAGAGCACCTAATGACCCCATGAAGCAGCAATGCAAATGAAGATTAAGTATGGGTACTTACGAATACAATCACATCGTTAGCGTAACGTGACTAGGATCCAGCGGTTCGTTCCAACAATCATTCACATGGGACTCTGACTGGATTGTGTACTTAAGAGATAGAAGACCCCCAAAGTGGAAGGCTCCTTGCCATCAGCCAACAAGCAGATACCGCAACATCTCGTGCAGACCTCGCATGTAAATTCTGCCTTCTGTGGCAACCTCTCAGTCGGGCCTGTCCTCTACAGGGTCTTCATCTGTCATTGCCTTCATCGCCACCTCACCCCTGGAGATTTCCGCCCTCATCTTCTCGCATCTTGACAACTGCGACCTCAAAGCCCTTCGGTTGGCCTGCAATAAAGTTGCCATCTTTGTCCGTCCTCATCTTCGGTTCAATCGTGTCTTTATATCCGCTAGTCCCCTCGATATTAAAGTCTTTCGCGCCATTGCAGAAGACGACACCTTCCGCCGTGATGTCCGCGAGATCATCTGGGACGATGCTCGCTACGAAACACCACCGCCTCCAGATCCTAGACTGCGGCACTTGGATGAAGACTTGTATGATTCTGATGATGAGGAGGATGAAGACGACCGCCCAGAGAAGCCCCCGCGTGGCGTTCCTTTCTGGTACTTCAGACACTGCAAAAACAACATTGAATACTTGGAGATTAGACAGGGTTATGATGCTGAGACTCTACCTCAGCATCTCGAGACTGCGAAACAGCTCGAGTCCCAACTCCCTCTTGATATCGCCTACACACACTATCAGGAGCTGCTCGCAGAACAGAACAATGTGCTTTCTACATCGGCCGATATAGCCGCGTTCGAATGGGCTTTGGAGAACGATAGGTTCCCGAGCCTAAGAAGAATTACCTTGACACCCGCAGCACATGGCATTCTTTTTCATCCGCTATACCCGACCCCTGCTATTCGCGCTCTACCCTACGGCTTCAACTACCCGCTTCCTCGTGGCTGGCCAGTCCCTCCTAAGGACGGAGATAAAGCGATGTCTGGGGACTGGGAGAGCGAGAATTACAAAGAATGCTGGCGAGGATTCCGCCATGTCGTCAGAATCCTTGCTCATCAGAAAAGCACAAAGATCAAGGAGCTCATGATTGACGGCAATCAGATCTGGTCTGGCCTGCCCTGTAGCATCTTTTACGGGCCGGAGCCGTGCGTCGAGTATGACAACCTCGTCGCCGTGATCAAGAAGCCAGGCTTCACAACTCTCAGGCTGAGCCTCATTGTAGGCGGGCAGGAAACCAACAACTATCTCGCTTTCCGTAACGGGCGCCTGAGAAAAGCTCTAGAGGCGGACTTGCGACACTTTTCTCTCGAAACTGGCGAGGACGACGATCTCGAAAACGGGGATTATCCTTCGCATTGGGTGAGAGATCACTTTATCCCTCTGCGATCCGTCTTCCCCGTCGAAACATGGAAGAAGTTGGCGCATTTCGGGCTGACGCGCTGGCTTGTGAGGCAGTCGGACCTGCTCGAGTTCCTCGCCGCGCTCCCGCAAACTCTACGCTCTGTGGAACTGAGCTTCCTCTCGTTTATGAAAGGCCATGGAAACTACAGGGATCTGCTCTTTGCGATTCGTGATACGCTGGGATGGCAGGAGCGAACAGCCAGTGCAAGACCTCGTCTGCTCATCCGAGACTTTCCCGGTGTCCTGTTGGCTGGGCGGGCTGTCTGGGTGGAGGACGCGTTGCAGAGATTCTTGTACGATGGTGGCGAGAATCCATATCCGATACCTCCGCGTAATGCCGTAGTTACGGGTCAAACCATCACTTGGGAACCTGGAATTTTGACAGTGGGCCATGGTTTCGGGATGGAGAAGGACGCCTTGGAGCCGCGATTTGAACGACCTTACGAGTCGGCGGATAAGCTTATTGAGATGGGGATCTCCAGGAATTGGAAGGGGGCTTTCTAGATTCCTTGATGGGGATGGATGTGAGATCACAGGAAAGATGGCTGAAAGTTGCCTGTACTTGGTGAAATAAAAATTTCCTCTGAAGCTTGTTGAAGGGGCAAGACAGATGGACGTGTAAGTGATAGGGAGATAATTGTATCGAAGACGAGAGGTTCGAGACTCTGCACCCACAATCGGCGTACGCAAGAGAAACCGCGCATTTCCATCACTGGGGCTGTAGAGACGGAGTTCTCTGACGACACCCTTCATCACGAGATTCGCTGATAAAGCTGTTTGGGTAGAGTTATCCGTACTACGAGGTAGTCACCATGCAAGAAAGAAAGGACCATATTGACTGGGGTCTCATTGGTTTGACTGTTTCATTCAGTTGTTCTCACTTGGTATCAAGTAGACTTTCACGCTGGACATCTGATCATCCTAGTAGGCCGACCATGGGCAACCGTATCAACCTACTGCTTCATCCATACTCGCCCATACTTCCAAAATCTACCACTGTTCCGACTTTACAGTGCTAACCTCGCTTCTAAAAGGCCTCCAACATCAGTGCCTAAAATTCGACCTGTTCATCGTAGTCACATCAATAGTCGACCCCATCGCCGCAGGCCCATACGCCCCGCCCTCCATCGAAGCCATCATCTTCCTCATCGGCGTGCCATCCTGCCCTCCCGGGCCCCTCAAATTCACCGCCTCGGCAAACATGCGCAGCTGCATCGGGAACCGCGGGTCGCCATACCGCTCAATAATATCAGCCTTCTCCACAGCGGACCCCAAATCATAGTAAGCATCAGCGCCCTCCTCCTCGTCCTCCTCGTCCTCCTCGTCCACCCCGCCCACGCGCTCGCACGCCGCCTGCTTCTCCGCGCTCCACCACGCCGGCAACAACCCCTTCCGCTTCGCGGCGTTCTTCAAAAAGCGCCGGAACCCCTCGAGCCCATTGTCCGCGCCGCCGTAGATGCTGTCCTCGGCCGCGTCCCCGTCGATGTTGTACTCGTCCTCGACGTGCAGGCGGTACGCGTCGATGAGGAGGCGGTAGACGTCCGCCTCGGGCCGGTCGTGGAGCCAGGTGCCGTTGTCGAGGCGCGTAAAGGGCCGGGTGACGGGCTGGTCTAGGCCCTTTGGCGGGGATAGCGCAGTGCCGGCGGATGTGGGGTTGCCGGCACCGGTGCCGGAGGGACCGCCACCTCGGGGTTGTGCGGAGGCGTCGGTCCGGCCGCACGTCTTTTTGTGGGATTTCCAGTCGGCCTTTTGGCAGTCGCGGGAGCAGTATGGTGTTGTGGCGCACTTTGCGCAGTTTTTTAGATTGACCTGGGGCGGACCCTTTTTGCAGACTGTGCAGGACGACATGTTTTTTTCCGAAGGGGCTTGAGTGGTTGAATGTTGTGGGATAGGTATCTGAGAAGAGCTCAAGATGATGTTGGTTGTCGTCGAACGGCAGTTGGCCTATATACCCAAGTATCCAGGTATCTGTCTGGGGCCACCCCGGTTGACCTGGGGTGCCTTGCATGCACGTCCGGGGTTACCTTACCATTTTGGCCATATCACGTGAAAAAACATAGTCAACTGATGGAATTGAAGGAAGGGCGTTGTGAGTGTCTGAATGGCAGGTGGAAGTTGAATGTTGCACATAGAAGAAGAGGATGGACTAGATTTGGGGGAAGGGGGGCTAGGGAAAGGAACTGGTCGCAGTTGGTTGTTGGTGGCAATCTTTCGAGGACAAGTAATGTGCGACACGGGATAAGCAACTTATACTAGTAGCTATTACGTGCCATGCGGGTTGAGAGGATTGACATGCTTGTTCACCCGGGTTACCTTCAGCGTCTCTAAAGACAGCTCTCGACTGAACCACGGTGGATCTCGCTGCAGGTGTTCAAAAGTTGAACCAGTGATGAAATTCTGTCTCTCGTAGTGGACACGAACAGGTATCATATTCAAAAGGAAAATACCAGACAATTAGAGCTGTTTTCATGCTTGCCCGTAAAACGCCAGGCCGTATGTGCCTTCTTGGGCACTCACATCTCGTCTCGCCTCCCAGCGCTCTTAACTCTCCTCCTTCTCGTCGGCAGCCTTGGCTTTCGAAGCACCAGTCATGCTATGAACCAAATCAGCGAACCGTCCCTTCGAAGCAGCCAGGTTCGTATCGGCCTTTGGCGTCCCCACGGGCGTGACACCCGCCGACGTACCCTCCACGACATTGGCGACCTCCTTGTAATGCTCGCGGTCTTTAACGAAGCGCGTCAGGTACATCGTCTTCTGCCGCGTCTGCTTTCTCATGATGCGCTCTACCTCGGCCTCGTACGCCTTGTCATAAATGTTGAAGTCGACGTTGGTCGGCGATTCGGCCACGGCGCCGGCCGAGGGCTCATCCTTGTCGAACTCGTCCCGAGAACCGATGCCGATGCCGAGGATGCGGGGTTCCGAGTCAGACCTCTCGGGGGGTGCGGTCTTGGTTACGTCGGCGAGGCCGTTCTTCTTGAGGAACTCGCGGCGTTTTGAGAGAAGGGCCTCAATGTCTTCGTGCATCGCACCCAAGCGGGGGGAGTCTGTCTGGGAACCTTCGCGTGATTTGGCGTTTCTTTGCCTTGTGAGGATGTTCTTGAACTTATGAATTGCTTTCATCTGCCGTGGTTGTTAGCTTCTTTGTAGCGCAGCAACAAGCAAGTGGGTGTGCTGCTCACCACACAGAGGAGATGGTTCATCTTCCGCGTGAAAGCGCGGTTTAACTCAAGCTCGTTTGGGGGCTCCACAAGGTTGGAGCAGTTTTCTTCCTTTGATAGCAGAGGGTCTGTCCCCTGTTTCGTAACCCATGGATGATCCTATTTCATGGTCAGCCAAACGAAAACCTAGCGCCACGGAAGAAAAAGTAGTGCTCACCCGCAACTCGTGCATCTGGATGCGCTTCTGAGGGTCCTTTTCCAGAATTCTGCTGATGAGGTCCACAAAGTCGGGATTCTCATCCCCGGGCAGCTCAGGAGAATCTGTCTTGATAGCTTCGTACATCTCAAGCACACCCTCTTGCTCAAACGGGATTTTGCCGTAGCGTAGACAGTACAGCGATATGCCCATGGACCAGATATCCGTAGCCTTGCCATCGACGTCGCCATGTCGGACCACGCAGAGCTCGGGTGCAAGAAATGCCGGGGATCCTGCCGATTTAGCCGTCTTCATGGGGTCTCCCGGCTTCTCAAACATCTCGGAGACGCCAAAGTCAACAATCTTGAGCACATCGTCGTCGGTAAGGAGAAGGTTGTCCGGCTTGATATCCCGGTGAATGACGCCTTGCTCATGTACTAGACCGTGTTAGCCTGGTTGGTCAGGGTATACGTGGCAGCCAACTTACAGTATTCGATGCCTAGAATCAAGTCTCTGAACCAATAACGACAAGAATCTTCACCGTATGGCTTCGCCTTCTCGTTGAGTCCGACCTTCATCACGACTCCCTTCTTGCACATTTCAAGGACCATGTACAGTGAATCTTCCTCCGGGTCGTCCAGCACCTCAATCAGCTGGACCAGGTTCGGGTGGTTCAGCTTCTTCATGATGGCAATCTCCTCTCTGATAAAGAACAGGGCATCGTTGACGTTCCAACCAGCGTTGCCCTCCTCGCCGAAATGAGGCGAGAGCGGCGCGTTGAGACTAACACGGGGGGCGAAGCGCTGAGGTCGGCGAGCGCCCTGCCGCAGAATGTTGGACTGCGCGCGTTTACGAAGCCGGACTTTTGAGAATTCCTTGACGGCCTACGGATGGACATTAGCATGGGAAGGGTTATCGCTTGGAAGCTTGGGAGGCTTATACGTATTCGGTGCCAAATTGGTCGGTCGCAAGGTGAACAGCACCATAGGAGCCCCGGCCGATTTCCTCTTTAATGACATACTGGTTGATGCGGTGGTGACTTGAGCCATCCTCAGCCTCAGTACCATATGCTGTCACGGCGTTGAGCGTTTCCTACAGTAGTTTCTCGGTGAGTTTCTCTGGACATTGTTCCGGTTCGTCGTCATCGCAGCTACCCCGCCCCCACCACGCTCAACCAGCAGCAGCGGGACAGGTCGAAAGCTGAGCTTTTCAACGAAGCTTGGCAAAACAAAACCACACGCACCTTGACTTCACGGTGAGCTGAAGGCGTTCGACGGTGATGCCTCATGGGGCTCTGAAACTTTGATGGTTGGGCAGCCGAATCGGATCTGTACCGCGTAGGGCGAGGAAGAGGTTAGAGTAGCTCGCCGCGCAGTGGTGGAGCGCGCGGGGGAGGCAGTGCAAAGTTGCAGCGCAGCGCAGAGAAGCAAAGTGAGTAAGTAGTGCAGTGACTGACGTACATGGGGGCAAGCGGCGGACGAGTCTCGGCGGGCCCTTCACCGTGGAACCCTACCGCAATGGTGGGTGAAGACATGCTTGAGGTAGCGAGGGTCGTCGAGGCCATGGCCGTCGTCGGCGGGCTCTGAGGTTCGCCAGAATCCGTCATGGTTTCGCCTTGCGCGAGGCTGGGGAGTTGTAGATGGGAGAGTATGTTGTAAGCTTGACGTTGTGTTGGAGAAGCAATGTTGGAGAGGCGAGTGCCGGGTGGGGTGAGAGTGAGAGTGAGAATGAAAGTGAGAGAGCTAGCTACAATGCTCTGCTTTTGCTCATTCGGAGCTTTGCTATTCAAAATGGCCAAGCTTAAGGAGCACCCCAAATCTTAAGGCAATACTAGGTAGGTATGACGGGTAGGCGCGAACGACCGGACGAGCGAGCGATGGAGCTGGCGACGTTTTGAACCTGGAAGCGCGCGTGTGAGGTGGGAAAAGCGAAAGCGACGTCAAAAGAAAGGAAACAATAAGCAAGGGCACTAGGATTCGCGAAAACGAGACGACAGCTGAGCTTTAAAACCTGACCGAAAGGAAACAAGGGCCCGGGGGTGGGAAGAGAGAAAGAAGTACTTTGTATTCGAAGGTGGGAAAAAATAGGTAGGCGTTTCTCCTTCAGCTCTTCAGGCTCAGAGTGAGCCCCCTTCCAGCCCCCACGTCTGTTATTTTCCCCCAAGGATCACCTCGCAGGTCTCCAGTGTTCTCAACGCCCTACAAAAAGCCCAGGTTCCGTCTTATCCATTTCCGCGGCTCCTCATATCCATGCCCAGCATCGCTGTCCGTTGTCATTGGGCGCATCGTAGATTCCCATCATGGGCTGACTAGTGTGCTCCCCTCGTAGGGCCAGCTCGGAACCCCTCCTTGCGCCAAAGAATCACGTTCCGTCCGGGGGGTCCACCACAAGGCAGAGTGACACCCCCTGCCAGCATCTGTACCTTACGCAATCGGACCAGCTCCAGCTCACAGTTGCAATTTCAAAGGTCCACCGAGGCACCTACCGACCGAGACAAGCAACGGTAGCCGCATTTCGGGGCTGGGGCCACTGAACGGCCGACCACACTCAATCGTCCCGCCCAAGCTAGCTACCTTACTTCGTATCTTCATGAGCATCCTGCGACTTTCAACCAGTGATACCCAACGACACCGAAAACCAGCGAATTCATTGACGGCCCAAAAGACGACCAGATTCGAATCCCGAATGCTCGAGATATAGAATCAATCCGCAATCTACGTACCCTGCACACCTCGCCGGCATGCGCCCCTAAACGACCAACCTCCATCCCTTTCCGCCTCGCCTCGCCTCGCCTCGTCGACAGACGACACCGAAACCCGGCGCAAACACGCGCAACCCCCGCGCCGCCGTCGCGACCGTCCCCTAGCCCAACATGGTCGTCTACTCCTTCTACATCTTCGACCGCCACACGGAATGCATCTACTCAAAAACCTGGCTCCCCGCCGAGCGCCCGCCATCCCAACAACCTCCCTCATCAGCCGGGACGGGCGCCGCACCACCACCATCACAGCAGCTCGGCCGCCGTAGCCAGGTGAACTCGGCCAAGGACGACGCCAAGCTCATCTTTGGCACGGTTTTCTCCCTCCGCAACATGGTCCGCAAGCTCGGCGGGGACGACGACGCCTTTATCAGCTACCGCACCTCGGCCTACAAGCTCCACTACTACGAGACGCCCTCGAACCTGCGCTTCGTCATGCTTACTGATACGGCGACGCTGAGTATGCGGAATGTGCTGCATCAGATTTATATTAACCTCTGGGTTGAATACGGTACGGTGACAATTACCCACCCTGAGGGCTTCCTCTCTTTTCCTGACAACGGATCATAACTTGCTGACCTCTTTTTGCAGTCGTCAAGAACCCCCTTGCACCAGCCGAACACAAGGGTGGCGAAGGCGTCAAGAACGAACTTTTCGAGCTGGGTCTGGATCAGTTCGTCAGGGGCTTGATGTGAAGGACACCGTTCTCGCCGTTCGGCAGCCAGGTTGGAAAGGAACAAAGAACAAGAAAACACCAAATCCAGGGAAAGACGATATGTGAGTGGGAGCCCTTAGAACTGGGGAGGAGAAAGGGGAGAATCCCAACAACTCAACACGGGAGAATTCGATGTCGAGCCGCAACGAGCTTTTGCCAGGCTGGCATCATGGAACAAACGTGTCTACGAGATGCATTGTAGTCCCTGGCACCGATTGCGCACTTCATGCCTAAAGAAGGAAACCCCCCACCACAAACATAGACGAAGAAAAGGCGTCCCAGAACCACTGGACGGCCTGACAACAAGAAAGAATCATCAGTAGAATCGCGGGCTGAGCAAAATGGATCAAAGGAATGGACGGAGGCTGCGCCATCTCCAGCTCTGGGCTTAACCCCCGTACTTCGTTGATACAGATTCGAGAGATGAACCGTCTATCTCTTGACCATAGATTATACAATGATACCTATATTTCCAGCTCCATCCCTGCCTTACATTCCCACCTGTCCTGTCCATAACCCCGTAAATATCATTAAAAATGTCATAGCCAGGCTCACACACCTCGAGAACACAACATCAATCGAGGTTCGGGCCACATGTACATGTTATGTCTCTCTATTTTGGATGGAAGGCCTACTTGCTGTCCACCGCCCTCCCCCACGCGCTCTCAAAGCTAGACTGCGGGTTCACCATCACGAGGCTCTCCTCTCCGGTGCCCTGCGTCGTCCCCTGCGTCTGACTTGGGAAAGTTGCAGCAGTACCCTGGCTGGCGCGAGGCGCTTCGCTGGCCCTCACGTCAACGGCGCTCGCCATGATGCCCTCGTCGTCGTGGTGGATCTCATTCTCCCAATTGCTCGAGTACACCACGGCCGCAAAGCCCTCGAGGTCGGCGACCTGCTCCATCTCCTGTAGGTACTCATTCGGCATCCCGTTGCCAATGATGTGGGCTTGCCTCGTGAGGACCGAGAGGATTTTGGGCAAGAGTACGACCACCTGCGACGAGCGCGGTTCCGACTCGGCGAGGTCCGGCTTATCAAAGGCTGCTGACGAGAGCTTCTTATCCACGAGCAGGGAGAAGCCGGCATCGAGGATGAGCGTGAGCACGTGCGTGAAGGAGGGCGACTCGATGAGATCCGACGTCTCGTCGAGCAGCCTTCTCACTGCGGGCGACGATGACGGCGAAGACTGAGACGTGGCGCTCTCGGACAGCATCACAGTGCTCTCCTCCAGGATGCCCGACTCGCGGAGGACGTGGTCCTCCTTGTCCCGCGGCGGGAGGAGGTAGGGCAGCCACTTTGCGGCCCTGCGCTCTTCGGGCGTGGCGCCCTCAACGGCCTTGCGCACCGCGAGCGTCAGCTCCGAGAACTGCTCGAAGCTGAGCAGGTCGCGCGGGCTCAGGTGGCCAAAGACCTGGCGGACGGCGGTCTCGACGCGCTGGCCGAGCTCCTTCCACCCCTCATTCAGGAGCCACCAGCTAAAGGTCAGGTAGCGACGGTTCGTCTCAAAGTCGTTGCCGTAAGGCTGGTCGAGGCCGTCGTCGTCATTGTTCTCCAGACTGATAGTCGCTTGGGCAGTACCAGTCGCCAGGGATATAACGCTCGAGAGATAGCTACGGCGGCCGAGGAGGTTGAGTTGGACTCTTGTCAGCATCGTCAGCAATGCGAGGGTGTATAATAGCGTGAACGCTCTTGTTATGGCTGCGATGTCAATGTTAGAATCTTCCCCTCTCTCGCCTTCTCCATCACATCAGATAGGCGCCACTCACAGCTGATGGTCAGATCATCCCACAACTGCCTCTTCGACTTCCGACTCTTCTGCGCCGCCGCGCCGCCATCCTGTTGCGCACCCTCGGCGGCCCCTCCCGCGGCGGCCGACGTCGGGGCCGGTACCGTCAACTGGCTCGTGTGCACACCGCTCTCGCTCTGGACGCTGCTGCTGACCATGCTCCGTCCGTCGTCTTCTGTCATGGTAGTATCTGCGATGCTCGGCGGGCTGCCGCTGCCGCTCTTGAGGCTCTTGGTCTGACCCTTCATCTTCTGGATCTCGTAGGTGATCTTCTCCGTGTTCATGACCTCGAGTATATTCGTCGTTGCCGAGGGAAGGAGTGCGAGCACAGTAAATGTGCAGTCTTCTTGGTTTTGCTCGAATCGGCGGCGGAGGCTGCGATTGGGACACGGCGGTGTTAGTCGGGGGAGGGTCATCATGGTAGCTTAGAGGAGGGTATCTTGGGAATGTAGCTCACTTCTCCTTGGCGATGCGATCGCTGCTCATGCGCTCACGCGCATCGTTGATCTTGCCCATGACATACTGCGACACGACATAGCCCGCGCCGACTACACCCACGCTCACAGCGAGCGGTGTCCTATTTCGGCGGAACCATCGCCGAGTGGCTTCTAACATGGCTCGGTCTGGCGCGGCGAGCGACTCAATGTCCGATAGATTAGCCTGGCTGTTGATGGAAAGATAGAGTCCGGTCCGGAGTATGGTAGAGGGGAATGGAGGGAAAGGACCAGAACGATTGAAGTTCAACAAAGATTGCGAGAATAGTTGAAAGAACCCCGGATTGAAGCTTTCGAACCGAGTTAAAGAGTTAAAGAATAGAAAAAGGCGGTCGTCTTGCTAGGGGAATCATATGAAAAAAAAGAAGATTGGGAGATTTTTTGTCTATTAACCCCCCCCAAAATTGGCTATCTGGGCGAGCTCTAGGAAGGCTGGTCGGCACGTAATGATAAGTTGGAGCAGTTAAGCAGACCAGGAGGGGAGGAGCTCGCGCCTGAAAGCCCAGTGACTGGCTACTGCTCTCTGCGAGTCGTGAACCGTGATTACCTCGGCCCAGCCACACCCACGTTCCCGCGTCATCTTAATTTAATGCCCGTGTTTCCCAACTCTCTTGCCCCAACAGCTGTGGCTGAAGTGCCGGTACCGCAACCGCCGCCGTATCGAGCGCTTCCCCGGTAAGGTAGTGTAGGTACATCACTGCTCGCCCTTGCTGCCCACCACCAACGACTGCCCAAGTATCGTAAGTACAGTGGGGTGTCAAAGGTTCGTGTGCAGCGCACAGTATCCCCCAAAAGCACTACTTTTCAACAGCAAATAAAAAGTTAAATATAATAGGAAAAAGAAATCAAAAATTACTCGATAACTAATTAGCTATTATATTAGTATATATCTAAGTTGCACTATGTTTTCCTTAATTACAAAAGCGTTAAATAAATCTTTTAAAAAATAGGTTTTAAGAGATTTTTATTATAGTGGATTATAGGGCCTATTAAGTGCGAATAGCACTGTACTTCCTAGTAAAATCTTTTTTATTTTATATTCTACTTTTATATTATATTATAAAGTATTAATATAACGTATTTTAAAATATATAAAAAATAGTTTTATATACTTTATATATTTAAATATTTTATTAAAATTTTAAATTATATTATTTATACCTAAGTTAAAAAGATATCTATAATAATAAAGAGACGTAGTTAGTGGGCTATAGGTGACGCACTGGGAGGGTGTACACGAACTTTTGACACCCTACTGTACCTTACCGTACGGGCTGCTACTGCACAAGGCTATGGCCACTCTCTACTCCCCAGGACCCAGCTCGGGGAACTTGGGAGTACCTTTCCCAACCAGGAAGAGTACCCCTGCTACCGATATCCCGTCCTCCCCCCGCCTCTGTCCCTTCCCTCCCTGGATCAACACAGCGGTAGTGACTCCCCGCTCTCTTCTGCCCGCCCGCCCCCTTATCGGTGCGGCGCATCAATGCTGGGCTCAAGTGTGCCCCTCAGTACATCTGACACCTTTCTTTGGGTCATTCCCTCACCTTACCTCAGGCAGAGGGAGAGAGTATCTGTCACTCTCCTTCACGCCAACCGCATCTGTCTGTCGAACAACCAACTCACCAAGCAAAATCCCGTAATCGAGAAAAGGCACGATGCAGCAGAGCAGCGCTCCAGAGTTCATTCTCGAGGCCTTTGCGGACCCGGCCTCCGTACGGGATGTCGTCAAAGGTACCTACCATCTCTGTCTCCCGTGTCCCGTCTCCCATCCCCAGTCCTCTTTCCCATAGGTAGCCCGCAGTTCGCGCGCGCCCCGCCAGACGTCATATCCGCCCTCAAAACGAACGACAACACCTTCCGAACCTCTCAGCCTCGCGATGCGACGGGCGCGGGCCTTACCAGTCCCCCTCCAAAGTGCAGAACCCAAGCCATGCAACACGAAACCATATTAACCATAGTGATGGCCCTTGAACAGGAATAAATGCTAATTAAACAACCTCGTCACCGTGATACAGGAATCCTCCACACAATCTTCTTCCACCGCTTCTTCCCCGCCGTCGTTCCGTACACCCGCGAAGTCCTAGACCTGACTCTCCCCTACGTCGACGACGTCGAGCTCGAGACCATGATCGAGCAGCGCGCCACCGCCCTCGTCCGCCAGCTCGACGCGGAGCGCTCCTCGTCCGGCTCCGGCGGCGGTGGTAGCGGCGGCGGGCGCGGCCAGCTCACCGTCCAGTTCTTTGAGAAGAAGCGTCGCAAGGCGTGGCTCATGCGCGGCGACGAGGAGGTCTGTTGGGAATGCTGGACCGTAAAAGTCACGGTCGCGGAGCCCAGGACGGAGACTGGTTGGTTCTACCTACCCCTTTGCCCTCCTTTGGCAACCCGGTAGAGGGGGGCGCACTAGTAGAGGGACGTACAAAGATGAGAGGCTGACCGTTGTCGGTGAAACTTTTCCAGAGCGAGCCAAAGTCCGAAAAGCCATGGAGACGACGCTCATGACGACCGTCATGAAGGTCATCACCTTCGTCAACGCGCACAAGGATCACATCCCTCCGATAACGACGCAGGGGTCGAACCCGTTTCCCTACCAGATCAATATTAACCAAAAGGAGTCAGGGTGGGCTACGAGGATGGGCATTTACTAAACTTTGCGCATTCGGGCTGACGACGACACTGTGAGACTATAATGAGATGTTTTTGACAAGATGCCTCTTGGTTTTTTTTTTCCAGGATTTGATGCGAATTCTTTTGGACAGTCTTTCCATGTTCGGCTTGGGGACGACGACATCAACGAACCTAGGATGACGACGGCGACGCTGCTGGCAGATATCGTAGAGGTGGTACACAACATTCTGAGGCGTTCTGGGAACAAGGCATGATTCAAACGAGAAATAGACATGTAGGACATTTGGGGAAATTTAGAGCAAGACAATATGATACCCGTTCTTGAGTTCAAACATCGGACTGAGAGGTCACCCACGCATGCCGAAAACTAGCTTCTTCGATGATTCGATGATTTATGACGACTTTACTAGTTCCGAGAAGATGATTATCTTCTCAAACGTACGTAACACCACACAGCCGAGAGTCATACTGATTTGAACATGCTTCTAAGCCACCGGGCTCTTGATGATGTCGGATATAATTTGATTGTTGCGGATATCATGTGGAATGCCCACATAAAGGACAGTACAACCATATGAATGGGATATAGAACACTGTATAAGTTATTCGCGACAGTCATGTCATCATTGACATCTTGAACAACATTTGCGAGAAGGCTCTGTTTAGTGCGTGTTTCCATAGAATTGATCACTACCAGTGTGCTTAGCAATAGGTGCGAAGCCAATACGCTACACATCCAACCCGGATTTTCCTACACAGCAAGAAACACAAACAACAAAATGGCCTATTCCGGCCAAACAGCGATAAAAAAAGCAAAAAGCGAATATCGAGCCGAACCTAACCTGGTCCAAGGCCGACGAAAGCAAAAGCAGAAAAACGCACAAGAATCTCATGGTGCCCTCCGTGCCTCTCAAGAATGATGATGTCCCTTCGCTTTCCCTCCCTTTGCCCATCGGAGAAAAAATAAGGAGAGCCAAGACATTATATGTGCACTGCTTCGTCATTATCATAAAGCAAACAATCATGGACAAGAGAATTGTGAAAGCCTCGAAGCCCGAATCAGACATTAGTCTTTAAAATCAGCCCAAAGTTTTTTGTGTTTCCCCCGCGCGCTCCATTATCGTGTGAAGTGTGTCGAAACAGGCCCTGAATGCCTGAATGCATCGGGACGTCATGCCAGTAAGTGTGTTCATACATCGTAACGGTCGTCATCGTCGTCTCGTTGCAAGAGACTAGAATTGCGTGGTGTAGCTTCGTCCAAACGCAGGCTTGCTGGGCTTGGAGCCGGAAGCCTTGGGCTGGGAGCCAGAGCCAATCTTCTCAAAGCCTTGCAGGATGTCGAGACCCGAGTACTCGGTGGTCTCCTCCGACAAGAAGTCTGTCGTGTCGAAGGAGAACGAAGGCCAGTCGCCCTCGGCCGCTACCTCGTAGAATGAACTAGATATCTTGGTCGGCGAGGGGAATCTCCATTGCACGGCGGCGTCGTTGTTGGCTTTGATAGGAGAGGACAGGCCGTCAAAGACCTTGCTAGGAGTCTCCCACATGGCAGAAGGTTGTGCGGGTGCCTTCAGGAAGGGCGTTGAGAGAACCGACTTGTTGCCGTTACCCGAGTCATGAGTATCGGCCAAGGCATTGGCAGAGTGAGTACGCTCAAGACGGGGTCGCTTTCCACCAGACTTCTTGGAGGGAGACTCTTGAGGTAGGCCGTCGAAGAAGTCGTTGTCCATGTCCTGGAAGATGTCAAAGTCACCAGCGGCCATCAGGTTGTAGTTGTAGACGCTCTCGTCCAAGTTGAAAGCGGGGCTCCACGGAGCGTTGCCGTCACCGGTGCCGACCATCTTGCGGATCGGGGACTGCAGCATCTGGCGGACATTTTCGCGGTGCTGGCGAAGATTGGTGTTGGGCGAGGCAGAAGGCGGGGCCTTGGTAGGCGGCTTCAGTTTCATGGCTGGCGTGAGCGGTGGCAGCATCTGCCCTTGTTGGCGGAGCGGCGATGAGGACGGTGGGGCGAACGCGTTATACGACCGACCCTTGCTAGGGCTATCGTAAGACGACGCGCGCAAGCGAGCAATCTCATCCTCTGCCCTGCCAGCGCGACTGCGCTTGCGAGGGCGATCGGCCTCTGAGGTAAGAATGCCAGTCTTTTGCGGGCGCAAAGCAGAGGATTCGAGAGACGAGATATAACCACTGTCATCCATGGACGCGAATTTTCTCTTGTGAGATCTGGTGATGGACGACATAGGTCCGCGGCCAGGCGGAGGAGGCGTGCGGCTGCGGGGCTCCATGTGTCGCGGAATGGGCGGTGAAGAATGCATCGTAGGCGGCAGAGGAGAGCATTCGTGGTCCAGCTTGTCCTGTCCATCTTCAGGTGCGGCCGAGTCCGAGACAGGAATGGTGGCATCGGATGAGAACTCAACGGCAACGGTAGCCTGAGAAGTAGGCAAAGGCGGGAGCGTTGTTGCATGTCTGATCGGTGCAGGAGGCGGAAGAGTCGGCTCCTGGATCGGCATGTTGGCCGGCCTTGAGGGTTCCATACGGGTTGACATGACAGGCACGTTTTCGGCGGTCGTTGCCGTCTTTCTTGCCGGCTTGTCCTTCATGAATTGTTGCTCCATGCCCTCCTGGATCGTCCAGTAATTTCCCTTGCCCGGGTCGTCCTTTGGTCGTTCCACCTTGATAAAGGCCTTGTGAAGGCTGAGGTTGTGCCGAATGCTGTTCTGCCATCCCGACTCCTCCGCCTTGTAAAACGAGTACGTGTCTGAGATCCACTTGTAAATTTGTGCGAGCGTCAGGCGTCGCAGTGGTGATCGAAGAATTGCCATCCCAATCAAAGTGGCGTAGCTGTGGCCCGGTTTCGTCCCATCGTCGACGATTGGAGGGAAAGAGTCGTGAGGTGGAAGACCGGACTCATCGGCCTTTACCTTCTTCAGAGGTCGTGATTCCTTGATCGGTGCAGCCTCCATCAATGTGCGCTTTCCGGGTCCCTTGTGCATATAGAACTGATCAAAGTTGATGGTCGGTGGCGCAGGATACAACTGCGGGTGAACGTTCTCCTTCCCGAATCCGGCGGCCAAATCCACAGAAGGAGGCTTCTGTGCGACGGTCTTGAACTTGGATAAGTAGGGCTTCTTGTGTAGCGAATCGGTGTTCTGGTTGTTTGCTGATGGTGGCGCCATTGGCACCATGTTTAACTTGCTACCCTGGGACTTCAACGGGGCGTGGTGCGATTTGATGTTGCCTGATGATGCCTTTAGAGGCGAGTGTCTGTCGGATGCGAGCATCGGAGGGTTGAGGACGACATTGTTGTTACTTGTTGCGCCAAGCGGCCTCCTCGGTGGCTTGGAGGCGGCAGGCATGGGTGCGTGGTTGATCATTGTTGTCGAGTTCTCGAAAAAGTCGTCTTGGTAGATTTGCAAAGGCTCATGAGAGCCGGTATAGCGCGTGGGTTTGGCCATGTCGGCCGAGTGTAGTTGAATGATGTCGTCTCCAAACTTGCGTCAAGTGCGTTCGCGGCAAGTAGTGGGCTGTGGGAGGGAGGGCATGTCAGCGAGCCGCAAAGGCATAAGGTTAGATAAGTAGTTGACGGTGTGGTCTTGACTCTGTCAACCTGACAGGGCCCGGCTTCAAGGTTCTTGAACCCGAACGGGGTTTTGCATGATTGAAGGGAGGAGAAAGAGAGAGGAGACTCAAGGCTCACCTAGGTCGGGTCTAGACTTTGGAAATGAGTTGTGGGTCGTGAATGCAAGGGGGCCTTTTGGCGGTCAAATTGTAAGTTTAGCGACGGGATCGCTGGATCGACACGATGCGATCAGGCAAGCGACGGCGATATTCTGCGAAGAGTGGTGCCCGACAAACAACGTTGAAGAGCGGCGACGACGATGTTGTGCGAAGTCGATAAAGCACAATGGGGTGTGAGCGTGAGTGTGTGTGAGTGAGAGCGAGAGAGTCAGAGAAGAGCAGCAGACGAGGGTGAGGGTGAGGTATGGCTTATGGCTGCAGAAAGGTGAAAAGAAAAGAGGGGATATCAGGCACGATAGCACGCGAGGGAGAGGAGGGTAGGTAAGATGTAATAGGCGAGCCAGCGGCAGCGGTGGTAGTGGTGGTGGTGGTGGTGGTGGTGGTAGTAGTAGCAGGCGTGCGTAGGTCAGAGCAGGCAGTGAGGAGGAGTAGGTAGAGCAAAGTGTGGGAGTCGGCGGCAGAAGGATGGATAGATGGATTGATTTCAGCCAAGGCGAGTGGAGAGGACCGGGATGTCTTTGAAGAGGTGGGCGGCCAGCTCAGCAAGCCCAGAGATGTCCGGTGGGGCCTCTGGAGCACGGGAGGAATGGGCGATTGGATAAGAGGAGCGTGGGCTGTGACACGACCGACCAGGCTAGGGTACGCCGAAGTGGCAGCAAGGGTGTGTAGTGTAAAGGACCTCCGTAGTCTGGTTAGATGCAGGGAGTGTAATGGAGCAGGTGTGTGTGGTGTGCGCGAATGTGAGTGAGCGTGAGAGCGAGTATGAATGTGCGTGTGCTTGATATCGTCCGGGGTGCGATGGCATAGGCACAGGTACAGAAGGTAGCAGCATGAGCAGCATGCATGGATGATGGGTATGGACTATGGAGTAGTGTTAAGTGTGAAGAAGGTGGAGGAGGATCATGGATGGGGGATGATGGGATGCACGGCAAGGTCGACCGTTTGCTGGAACACGCCGTCCCGGGGGAAAAAAAAAAGAGGTCGAAGTTAGAAGCCAACCGTCGCCGAGCGGGAGAGCGATCAGAAAGAAGTGCGCACACTTGGGACTGTAGTAGTGCAGTCCAGTCTGTGTAAGGTATCCGAAGATATACTACCTTAGGTGACTGGATACTAAGTCGCTAGACAGAGAGCTGCTCGCATCCGGGGTCGGTGCCCTTAGCCGTCACCGTTTGGTTTCTGTCAGGCGTGGAGGATGAGGATTTGCGTTTGTCTATGCGCGTTTGCTTGGGCTACGCCGTCGAAAGAAAAGAGAGGGTCAGCCAGCCAGGTCGGTTGAAGTCGAACAGACTTTCACCCGGCTCCAAGTCAGGTCGAAGTTCGAGATACGTAGTAAGAAGAACAAGCAGAAGAAGCTCAGGGCTCCCGGGGCCAGGCCTGTCAGACTCAGTTCCAGTGGGGAGGGAGGAGGGGGGAAGGGCGTCCGCGCGGGTTACGTCCGGCAGACAGAGGAGGAGAAGATGTGGACGAAAGAGGATCCCAGACTTCCCTAAAGCCCAGAGGTGACGACGATTGTACGAAATATGAATGGGCGAAAGCTGGCGACAGGACGGGAAGGCTATGCTATGCACGTACTGTATGCAAGCAGGTTTTGCAGTTCATGCGAGAGTCCGTGGTGGGCCGCCGACGGGCTTTACTGTAAGTCTGTAAGGTATGTACCACAGTACTGCGTACGAGGCTCCTCTTTTTCGCGCGCTGTCTTCCAACAGAAACGTGAAAATGAGCGCGTGTCTGCCACCAAGAAAGGTTGAATTTCCACTGCATATGCACCAGCACCACTGAACCACCCCCAAGGTCCCCTACTTCCCAGCACGCCACAGGGATGGATGCTGTAGATAGCAGCTAGATGCTGTAGATAGCAGCTAGAGCCTCTAGATGCAGCTTGACGGGCAGCGAATGGTGTTGCATGCAGGGCTCTGCCGGGGAAATATCTGTGGATGCTGTGGGCAATGGTGCAAACTGTGATATCGCTCCGGTCCTCGACTCTTCGACTTCGTCCTTGGTGGTGTTGCGACTATCTCGAGACTACCAAAGTGTCAAAGGAAGCCCAGGCCAAACATGGTCGAGTCCAGCTGGTAGTGCAAGACCCGAAAAATAGACCATGGAGTTTGCCTTTTCTTGCTCTGGCAATGGCCGAAATGCTAGTCTTCCTCACGGTTGTGGCTTGTTCGGCTAAGCGCTCGTCTGCCGTCAATTGGCTGATCTGATCTGATCTGGTTTGCAGCCGTGATGAAATGGGTTTCCTATCTAAGAAGACACACAGGCGAACAAAAATGGTAATGGCTGTGTGGCGCGATTGCGATTGTGTGCGAGCCTGTGAGGGCTCAAAAAGAGGTCAGTGTCTCGCTCTGCGACGGCTCTGGTGTCCTCTCTGTGGTGCCCTCATCTGGTCTCGTTGGGATGGCCTCTTTCTTGCGCTGGCTGCTGGGATTGATTGGGTCGAGGGTTCGAGGCACAGGCCATGGATGATGGAATGAAGTCGGCGCGTAGCCGACGCGTCTCACCGATTTGGGAAGAAAACAACAAACGCGTCCACCATGAGCCAATCAAAACGGCCAAATCACATGACTGCACTCCTGATTGGCCGCCGTGCCCCCATCCGATGAAACTGGGTCATCCCAACTCATGTGCCCATTAGGGGTAGGAGCCAATACGGAAAGCAAACCACGGATAACCGCTGGAAAGGCTGGACGACATCTTTTTTCTTTTTTGTCAGACTGACACCACTTGAACAAAATTTCATATTCTTCCCACCCCATCTTGGTCTTTTTAATGGCTTAGGCTGTCTTGCAACGATTGTCCCCGCTGTGAAACTGAGACCGAGACCCAGGTACCAAGACCACCCCCCGTCTGATGCTGGCCAGATCGTCAGGTACGGAATGTGACGGGCGTCTCACTTCACCTCCCGATGATATAAGATGAGAGACGATTGCGCGCGCTCATTCCGCCTGATCTCATCTCTCGCCTCGTGCTCTGCGTTTTCAAAAGTCTTGGACGGCTAGACGGGTCTTCTTGGGCCGAGCATGACCAACCTGTCCGTGCCTATCGAGGATCCCATCAGAACGATCCAAATTCTCGTCAATGCTTTCCTTCCATCATCCCAGCTGTTTAATTCCCAACCGCGAGGAACAGACTTCTAGAACTGGGCTAGATGGGGCGCTGCTCAGAAAGGGTACCCATGGCTTTCTAGTGTAGGTCAACAATGACTAAAAAATGCTCGAGCCTCGGCGCAGGGAGCACTCTGGAGCGCCCATCGCCGGCCGTGAAGACACTAACAGCAGCTGCACGGATATACGTTGGGAAACCTTGGAAGGCTAATAATGCCATGGATGATGAGCGGTGTCGAATGGGTCTTTGCCCTCTGCGGAAAGGCGACGACAGCCGCGGTGTCGCATTGGAGCGAGCCTGACGAATAAGCATGCCATGTCTAAATGGGCGACGTTCAACGAACGTTGGGTGGACGGGTTGCAGCCCGCGGTCTGAGTTTTGTGAGTGTCACTAGGTATTCGCCTCAACCCATGTCTATCAATCACAAGTAAACGGAGGTAGCCATTGATCTGTTGTACAAAAAGGCAACGTCCAGGCCGTGGCGCCAACTGCGACAAGACTGCTACGACATGTGTCTCTCCACCGGGCCCGAAACTTGAGTGTTTAGAAGCACAGCGAGGCCAGGTACGGGGAAAGGGTCTCGGAAAGCAAGACAACATCTCATCATCGGCACTCCTTACTGTCAGGCACAGGACCACGGGAGCCACTGGGGGCTTACGGGATGGAGAGGCATCTGACACTAGTCATGATACCGGTGACCTGTTCGCTCCAATTCTCTCTGTAAAGTTGCCTTGGGTCTATGAGTCCATGATCGCTGCTACGTGCTTGACGGGATGGAGATATGAGACTCCCGAAGTGAAGCCAGCCGTTGGTGAGTATCCGTACTCGGTACCTTTAGGTAAGGTCGGTCTAGGTATTGCCGCACGACCCAAATGGCCCAGGGCATCCGATAATACGAAATACCGAGAGCGGGAAAGTCCCTTCCCGAGCTCTTTCCCCCCCATCCGTGACATCATCCCTTCTCGCTACCGCCGTAGGTACTGCGTAAGGCACGAAGTACTGCCAGCATGCTGCAATGACCAATCCCTTCGCACATGTTTCCTGGCTGCTCTTTCCAGAAACCTCGTGTCTCCGCCAGTGCCCGGACGTGGCCCCAACTCTCGATCCCCAATCAAACCGTTTCCACCTCGAGCCGTCTCATTGGTTCCGCGGGCTGACAATGTTTCAACCAGAATTGGGACCAACTTGCTAGGCTTTCCCAACTTCTTGCCCGTTCTTGCCTGTTCCTGTCATCAGGTCCCACCCGGTCTCGAAGCCACTCCCCAGTCCAGAAAGTACGTACCGTTATACGTACCTGAACTGAGCACGCTGAGGTAGGTGCTGCAATTTGCAACTGCCAACTGCACCTGGACAAGTGGGAATGCGTGCAACTTGCAAGTCGCAAGTGCGAGCAATGTCTGCGTCTGCAGGCAGGTGCAAGTGCAAGTGCAACGCTCTGGCTCAGCTGGTGTGGTGCAGACCAAGCAGGGTTCTGGGGAGCAATTTCTCTGTTTCCTACCGCTGCATCTCTTACCACTCATTCTTTCTCGTCCCATTCATGATTCCCCCATTGGCACTGACATTCACCATTCACCGCTCGCCTTATCGCTCCAGCCTCCGGTACCTGACGGGCGTCCTCTCCCGTGTGAACCTCCCTTCCCAATTCTGCGCAATCCATTCACAAACCAAGAGGGGTCACCAGGTACCATACCTGTCTTGGCTTTTCCACTGCCAGGTTCAGCCCAGTCGTCACACCCTGTCAGTCGATCTTCGCATAAGATGCAAATCTTCCCTACGGGAGATATCCCATCTCGCACATCATTGACAACGCATCTAGCTCGCCCCGAATTCTGACTCTTCGCTATCCCCATCTCGGCATCTTTCCCACCTCGTGCTCTACTGACACTGGAGCTTCCTCCCTCTGTTCTGCCCAAGAGAAGGGGGGGGGGAGACATCGAGATCCCCACGGAATCCGCTCCGGCGATCAAATTTTTACCCTCACTTCCCTGTGCCAGACGATATGGAGTAATTCATGGAATCGAAATTCAGAGACACATGGCAGAAATGCAACAGAGTTTTCGTCATTCTCTGACTACTCTTTTGTCTTCTTGTTCCTCATTCTCGTGCGTTTCCTGGCCCGGGCGCAACTGCCAGCTCACACCCGTTGGATGTTTGATGGGACTCTCATCTGTCCGTTTCAATGCACAAACGCAAACGTTCGCAGCGGACCACAACCCGCGCGCCGCTGCATCGCACTACTGTACTCCGTACGGCTGCGTTCCTCTCCATCATTTCCCTCTCATAGACTGTCACTCTCATTCTGGTACCCCCGGAGCGTGTATCCCTGCCTGCCCGATATCAATAGCGCTGCTTTTGATATACCCGCTCAAAGTGCCGGCCGTTCTCCCATTCTCATTCCCATTTCATCTCTGATTCAGTACCGACCTGGTCCGGCGTGTCGTCTCTAGCGTGACGATACTCCATAGTCCATTCTCCGTACCAGAGGAGAGGACCACCACCGCATATGCCAACCTACGGCCTGCGACCTGCCTGCTCTACCTTACCTTATCATCTCCAAGCAAACTTGTCTTTCCAACCCCAGCTTCATCCCCCATGTCAGGCCATACCGAAGGCCCCATATCGCCCAGATAACCCGACGGGCTGTACTCCGTAGTCCAGAAAAATCAAGGCAGCCGAGGAAAGCTTTGGGCGCATTTCAGCTCACGCGCACTGTCGCCGTCCGTCCGTTTACCGATCCCACGTTGAGTCTGTGATCCTCAGCACCCTAGAAAGAAGCATTGACGACCAAAAGTTGGCCGACTCTAGATGCCCAATTGCCGCCAGCAATGCCTTCATTCCGGTCTTCCCAACAATGGACAACGCATTTGCCATCTCATTTGCTTTTTTCAACATGGCCCATCCGTCCGCCTCGATTTCGACTTCTTCTTTTCGCTAGTTTTGCCAAATACTTTTGCTTTACGTGCGAAAGCTGGTGTGGAAAACGGGTCCCCCGGCTCTACTGTCTAAGTCTTGCAAGTTTGGTTCGTAAAAGACCAGATGACAGGGCCCCCGTCCCATTCACGAAAAAGCAAGCATGAAGCATAGGCCAACGTCCGATCTCCGGCCCATTATCCACGGCCCATTATCCAGGACATTTCAGGCCATTCATCGCATTCTAATTCCTCCCTCACATCAAGCCGTGTCGTAAGACGCAGGCGGGTGTTGCTCTGTAACTCGGCCTTTCCATTGTTGGGACTACCTCAGGACGCTCCAGAAATATCCCATCCCGCTTCCTTCGAGAGCATTCGGCGTTCTTTTACAAAGCGCCACCCCGGAGCCCAATCGGCCCTTACAAACTGTAACACACAGACTCGGAGGACCGAGACAAACGATCTTCCCGAGTCTCAATAGCACACCAAGTCTGCCCGTTTTCACCCCTAATCCTTCCATGGTCGTTTCCAAACTTTTCCATGAGGCCAGAAAGAGAAAAAAAAAAGTCCGGTGGCTGGGAGGATTTCCCAGGGTAGCTCTAAACCGGGGTTCATCTTGTATTCCACCTCACGAGCACCTCATCCGTGCATATGTTTCATCGAGGTCGTAGTGCTGCACTCGCTGTTCCTCTGACCGTGACAGCCTGGGTCCGGGGCCCAACGAGAAAGATATCCCCAAAGGCCAGAAACTCTGCAGAGCACGTCGCTCTCTCTCCCGAGTCCCCAGCATGTCCTGCAAAAGACTCTACCTCCGACGACCGACGTGGACTCACCATCTCGCCTTTACAGCTGGTGAGCTGCTCGCTCTGCCAGGGGCGAAAGTGACTTGCAGATCCCAAGAAACGTTCAACCCTCAAATGTGGGTGAGAAGCTCCAACACTCGAAGAGGGGGGAGGGGAAGCACAGGACCCGTAGATCCACCCCCTCCTTCTTCATGTCGTTCCTGTCCCAAGCTTCCTAGCCGAGTGCAACCGTATTTCAACCTTGAACGTTGAACGTCTTTTTAATGATAGCTTTTGCTCAGCCTCCTGTACCTCCATCTCAGTGGCAACTCTCTCAGTGGCAGTAGTAGATACTAGGTAGGAGCTCTCACGCTCTCTGGAGCTATCCCGTCCAGGCTCGCTTTCTTTCGTGTCGAGTTGCCACGAAGAAAGACTAGGTCGATCGACCTGCATATCTAGCCCCTTCATTAGAGCGTTTTCCCTCTTCACCACGGTGTTCAGTCGCCCTCGCGCCTACATTAGTCTCTACAGCTAGGAACCCGATCCAAAAAGCAGCCCGCTCCCGAGAAATCCGGTTCAGAGAGAGGGGGGCACCTTGGTGATCTTGGTTTGCGCGGAGAAGGATTACCTGCAGACTGCAGTAGCCAGACTCGCTCATGTCGTAATATGTTGCACATGAAAAAGAAGAACCTGCAGTAGTGCACGATAGTAAAGCGAGATATCGCAGCTTACGCCACCTTGGCCACCCTCGTTCCCCCCCATTCAGCGCCGCATCAGATGGGTGTGAACCGTTTGACCACACCTCTTTCTCTCTGCCCTTCCCACCATCTTCTCATGGATCCAGGAACTATCAGACGAAAGGACCTGAATGTCAACAAACACACAACTACCTCTCTCAAAAAGAATGAAAACGCGGCCCGAAGTCGCGTTTGGCTTATATGCAATGACACGGCAATAGAGGAGACCTAACTGCAGGATCATGGTATTTACATTGATTGCTACATGGCTCCCTTTCACTATTCTAGTAGATCTTCACATTGTCCTGCCCGTCATGGGCCGAAAGATGCGTGTAAACCCAGCGTAGAAACTGATACACACAGGACCTTGACTTAGCTCAAGCTCCAGAAATCCCCATCAAGGGTTTCTCGAAAAAGAGAAAAAAAAGAACGCAAGACATACCAGAACCCTCTCTTGGCTCCCTCATCCTCATAGCCTTACTCTACCTGCCAACATGACTCCAGACTTGCCGTCCCTACCCACGGGATACCAAAAGAATAGAAGAGTTTAAAAAGAAAAAAAACACCCCTCTTAACCTGCCAAGAAAAGATCCACCCTCCTCACCTCGAAGATCAACTACAACAGGAGGTATACCCCCAAGCCAAAAACTCAAAACCTCTTCGTAGATCGGAAAACCGTACCCCGAAAAGACTCGGGAAGAGGGTAGGACTCAGACACGGCACAAACACCTTCACACCACCACAATGACGCCATCACCGCCCGCACCGGCCTGACCTTGCGCTTCTCTCCCTGCGTAGACTGAGAGAGAGACAGACGATCCTTTCGATCAGGCGTCGGAATAGGAAAAAAAAAAAAAAAAAAAAAAGACTAGAAATAACTTTACGCCACCCAAGCTTCTCAGGACCCCTCAAGGACCAAAAAAACAAAAAGAGGAGGCACTCAACGCACACGCAACGCATGGTCCCGACAACACCAGAGCTAGCGCAGCTTCGCGCCGGATCCCACAGCTCAGGTTCTTTGTTTGACACGACGGACTGATCAGCCAGCCGGCCGGGCGGCGGCGAGAGAGAGGGGGGGGGGGGGGAGGTCACGGGCCAAGAAAAAACGAAAGAGACGTGAGTGAGGATAAAGAAAAGAAATTCGGGGTTTGCATTACTAGTTGGTGTGGGACATCTGTATGATAATGGGAACAATACCTACTGCTGCACGCCTCCAAAACCCCTTCCTCTCTTAGCGAACAAATCTTGCCACATGTGAACTGAACCTACTCCCAACTAATCCTGGAAACTACCTGGACATAGCTTTCTCCTCTCGTCATCTCTCTCTCTCTCCATGCCCTGCCCCGTGACATCCTTCACCTGCATCCACAGCCAGCCACATCCAGCACGGACTATTGAAACTAGCACCTAGCATTTAATCCAAAACGCGGCCTGCAGTAGCGGCACCGCTCTTATCGCGAGTCTCAGTCTTCTTCAGGGCCTTGCCAAGTTGGATCTCCCCGAGCAGACCCGCGGGCCGTCCACCTGCTGGAGGCCCTGACGGTGCGTCACCCGCCGGTGGTGGGGGAGGTGGTGGCGGGGGAGCTCCCATGCCTGGAGGGGGAGGAGGCGGCGGCGGCGGCGGGCCACCTGGTGCGGGCGATGCCGGCATCGGTGGCGGAGGAGGGGCCGAAGGAGCCTCGGGTGCCGGGCCTGGTGGGGGAGGAGGAGCACCGGTAGCTGGCATAGGCGGCGGGGGAGGAGGGAACGCAGGTGAGGCGTCGCTACCCATAGCCGGGCTGACAGGGTTAGACATCGGCTTGTCTCCGGTGGCCGAAAGTGGTCGCGGGGGGGCCATGGTTCCGAACAGTATGGAAGCCAGAGCCGCAGCGCTACTGCCGCCAGGACGG